GCTCCCCGCTGACTAAAAAATACAGCTTTATGATCCAGTCGCGTACGTTCGCTTCGAACTTTGCATGGTTGAGGCCTAGATAATTTGTGGCGCAAATGGGTGGAATCCCTGTGTGACAGCAAACAGTTAAAATTTACAGAAACCCTGAAATTTGAAAACATATTTTGTGCGTGGTATCTTCTGGTATAGTTGTAGATCCCCGTTGACTGATGTATCATTGTCGCTGCGGCCAGAATATTTTACGGCTCGACCACCCTCTGCAGGATAAAACACCTTGCCGCACACAATCTTCTTTGAGGCACACGCAGTTTGAAACCAATGCCCACGGAGCTTTTCGTGGTGGGCGAGCTGGAAGAAATCGGCACACAGGAGAATGCCATACAGAGAACTACCACACGGAAGGACCGTTTCAACTCTCCAAACAATCACCGATAATTCTGAGAAGGAAGTCGACGTCAAGTGGGCGGGCCGCATGTGGCAATATTTATTGAGCACAGATTAAGTTGTTGGCCTACTTTTGGAGCCTTTCTCGTAGGCTTTGATCTTGCTTCACCGATGATCTCCAGGCGTGAGTGTACTCTACAAGATGCAATTCTACAAATGTTCCAAAGACTTTGAAATATCGGTCTCTATCGGAGACAACGAAGGCCTGCTTGATCGTGTATATGAACGAAGCTGCGGCCTTAGCTGTCTTGCAGTAGTAAGCAAGGGTTTTATTGAGTCAGTCATCTGGGTTTCCGTTTACTGGAGAGCTATCCCATTAAAGTAGTAAATGACAGAGCCTTAGCCTTGATTTTGATTTCCAAGGTGTAACTTTTCTAAAGCGGCTAAGCTCAAACTGTAACCATCAATGATCTTAGACATAATGACGTCATCTGTAAATATCCCACGTTCAGAGTGCAGTTCTTTGGCACAGTCATTAGTAAACGTGAAAAAGAAGAACAACCCAACACTGCACCTTGTGAAACTCCATACTCTGCGGCTAACGCCCGGATTTCAGTTGCTTTTCGCAGAAAACCTGTGAAGGACTAACAAAAATTTTTTCAATCTAGTTAGGAAATTTTCCTTTGATACGCATCACTGTCAGCTAAGAGAAAAGTTGCAGGTTAGATGCCCTATGCGACGCTTTTTCTACAATAAAAGCAGTTGGCCTTCATCCGATGCTTCTGTCAATCTTTGCGTCGTTCATGGTAAGTTATTCATAGAGTCTTTCTTTGAGAAAGGTGTATTGGGTGTTAGAGAGGGGGTCGATAATTTTCAACGAAACCATGTGGGATATTTTGCGTTGTGTTTGTACCCTTGAAGTTTTCGATACTGTTATTGGTAGTTATAATAGTGCTGAGATTCCTGTTGTGCGTTCCCTTCCTATGGTAACTCTAAAGCAACCTGGACATTCCCGCACCCCATCGCAACTGACCGCTTTTAAGATCCCGTCCCATTTTAAATAGTTACCATCAATCATGCCACTCTGCCTTTTGTATTCCGTTGATCACATTGTTAGGTCCAGTGCTAACCTCTGAGGTCGGTCGGTTTTCTTATTCCTCATTGAACGGAGCGGCCACATTGATGGGTAAAAATACTCGTTGAAAAACTTCAAGGCCCCGGGGATTTCTCTGGGGAAGAGAGCGACCTAGTCTATAAGCAATGCTTCCATTCTCCCTATTCAAAGATCCAACGCTCAGATTCTCAAACTCACTAAATTTGTTGTAAATGGTGCGGATAATTTAGTCTTCCCACTAAGGTACTGTTGGGTCACTTCGATCAAGGAAAGATGGGCACTGTACCTATTCTATACTCTCGCAATCCTTTGTGAAGACGAGGTCCAAATAACTGGTCGACCGTTCTCTACGCGCTCTTTTCGGAGGTGGAATATGCTGCGCGAAAAAGACGTCAATTGTTTTCTCCGAATAATGTGGTTGAGTACCTCATATGCATGTCATTCAACTTAAAGGTGGGTACATTAACATTACCCATTATAACAACATCAGGTCGATTATCAATCTCATTTGTGTTCGTTAACAGGTCGTTGTTCCTGCCCCAGATCAGAATAATTGTTCCCACTCCAGTATTTCTGCCAATCTCTAATGTGTATTTTTATTGTTCCCACCTGAACTATAGCTTCAATTGCATGTCAAAGTTCTTCACTGTCCAATTCATGCTGCAGAGCTTCATCTCTGTTACTTGCTGACTAGCATTTGGTCGTCAGAGGTGCATCGTTATGTAATGATCAAATATTTGTTTGCGTATTGATACGAGGAGGTGTCTAGTATGGGGACGAAAAATGAATGGAGGAATGGGTACTGACCTACAATTAAACTAATTGCCTGCAGCTGTACTTGAACTTGTGACAATTACAACGTCCGAAAGGTGTTGGTTCAAGTGCATGGGGCTGGATGAATGAGTTACCGTGGCATCCGCCATAGCAAGTAGGCTCAATGGAATCGACTTCCGGCAAGCGTCACCTTATCCAACCAAATCCACTTTCTTCGCAGGGAAAAACGTAGAGTTAAACATGCAATTAGTTATTTGAAATGGCCTTTTATGTTTTCAGTCCTGAAACAGGGGTTACAGAACATATTATCTAGGCTTTTGAATCAGACGAGCAGATAAAAATTTCGAGTCAACTATTTGCTTCCTAGTTAAGCGGATGTGTCCCCTTGAACCGATGGATTCATTAAAAGTCTTCTTTTCAGTAGCAAAAGTTTTGCTTTTTGCCTTTTCTGGTTGCTTCTGGTTACAACCCAACGTATGTAAGGGAGATAGACAGAACCTTTGAAAACCCAACTCCCAGGTATTCGGGGGAAAATGCACATATTTATGTAACGGTTATGTCATTAATAGATATCAAGTTAAAATACGATCATCAAGCATAAAGTTGTCAAGACGTCCTTTGTTTTCCCGTCAGGACAGCAGAATTCGGTAATTCGTTTCGGCTTTCAACTAACCGGTGGGGGTAGAATTTGGCCCGAGCTTAGAGTTTGGCATACCTCCTCCTCCCCCTCCTCCTCCTCCTCCTCCTCCTCCTCAATTTGACTTGATATTTTCGAAGAGTGGTCCATTGTGCCATTTCAAAAAGGTAACCAAACTCAAGAGCACAGCCTAACCCTCTGACAGTGGCTTAGGCCATGATCATATGTCCTCCGGTTGGGAGGAAACAGTTTTTGTCTCTCTAGCCGTCTTCCATAAAGCAAACATCTTAAGCTGTCGACTAATTCGGTTACTATCCATTGTTCGTTCCCCAAAAGGGCGTAATTTTGTTTCACCCAGGGCGCCACGCCCGAACGCAATAGTTTAACATTGGCCGAACAGATGTTCCAAACGTTTAACGAAAAACCATTCGTCAAAACTAAGGTGAGACCTCCTGATTGCGTCCAGGACACCTATGGCTTTCTTTGTTACCTTAGCGCAATTAGATGGTGGTTTGAGAGTGGACGTCATCCACACACCTAGGTCTTTCATCTAGTAGACGGATTCGAATTGGTGACCTATTATGTTGCTTGATCATAATCGAATAATTTGGTTTTTGTTAACGTTAAGGTTAAGAGCCAATCATTACACGACTGTTGCAAACTATCCAAGTTAGTTTTCAATTATAACGTATTTTCCGGCTTCTTCACTGATTCCCACAATTTCAGATCATTAGTAAACACTACGGGCTCGCAGTTTATGTTATCCAGGCAGTCTTTCATGTATATTAAAAACAGAAGTGGACTCAGAACTCCCCCCTGTGGAGCGCCCCCTTGAAAGATCGTTCGCCCCGATTTAACATTACCAATGCAAACACGCTGAGACCTGCCCCGGAGAAAGTCGGCTAGTATATTTCCATTAACGCTCATTAGAGGCAATTCAAATTTAAGTTGTCTAGGTAGAACATTGTCAAAAATCTTTCCGAAGTCAATGTGCACCGCGTCTACTAAAAAACAATTTTCATTGATTTATTTCAGCTCCCAATGGATATGAGCAGATCAGTAAGACGCAATCGACTCCTTTTAAATCCGTGCTGGTACAAACTAAGCAGATGTATCATTAACTCCGTTTTCAGTATCTTCTCCATCAGTTTGCATCGGACGTTTGTGTGACTCACTGGTCTGAAACTGTTTGGGGAAATTCTCTCTCGCCATGTATATGGATCGTATGTTGATTTACTTCCAGTCAGTAGACAGAGCCCCGGGCCCCATCGAAGTTTAAAAGATCCAGGAGAGCGGAGAGTTCAGCTGCTCTGCGAGTACATTCAGGAGTTTTGTGAGTAGGCCGTCCGGTCCAGGCAATTTAGTGGGCTGTATCTGTCTTAAAGTTTCTTTTTCCGTGTCTATTGTGAAGCCCACCGTGCTAATTGTGTCTTTAGATATGGTAAGTGGGGGGTATAATCCCTCATTAAAGCCGATCCCGTGGTAGGCATGGACGGGAAGAAATCGCATAAGAGATTCGTCTTGTCGGCGTTATTAGTCAAGTTACTTCCTCGACAATCATCTAGAAAAGGAATGCAATCGCGGTGGTGTTTTGCCGTATTCGCGTAACCACAGAACGTTTAGGGATTTCTGGGTATTACTTTGGCCATTTTTGATTCAGGTGCCGTTCGTTCCCTAAGTAGAGTCGGACATATATTCTGCTCTTTTTAAAATCGGTGAAGTTTTCTGGTTGTCGACCTCTGGCGTACTTTTTCCACGGTCTTCTTTCATTCAAACATTCTTAGAAGCTGATGCGTCTCATGCTTACCTGATAACCTATTTTCAGGAGTACTGCCCTGAATAAACGCCACCATCAAAGACGCCAGAATGAAGAAACGGGCCAATCCGCAAAAGAAACTACAGTTTCTTCTTTGCACGGCCAGCGAGAACCGAATGTCTACGAAGTTTGTTAACCTTTCGAAAATGGATCTAACGTCCGCTGAATGAAGCCTTCTGTCTAAGGGAATAAGATTCAGTCACACCGATGCTGCACCTACGGACTTCTTAGCCAACCTTGAATCCCCCCTACCGACCTCCGACTTCCCTGATGACATGTGTGCGAACATTCGCAGCTGCGTCACTGGTCCCCTGCGACAAAGTAAACATAATCAAACCCTACCGACTGAAGAGGAAAAGGTGTTGCGATCGCTGAGGACAGATGAAAAAATAATTATGTCTGCTGACAAAGGAGGAGCAACCGTTATAATGGACAAGGCTGACTACGTCAACAAGGCAAGCCAAATCTTCGATGACAGGGAAGCCTATGCGCCACTCGCTGTAGACCCAACGAAGAAACAAGCCGCGGCTATCAAGAAGAAAGTGAATGAGCTTGCCCAATTGAAGCTCATAAGCTCCGATGACAGCAGATCTATGGCCCTCAATGACCCCCGTATCGCACCTGCGTACGGTCTTCCGAAGGTGCACAAGACAGATGCGCCGATGAGGAGCATAGTGCCACTTATTGGATTCCCTATTTACAACCTTGCCAAGTGGTTATACAGACGTTTAAAGCACCTTACAAATGGATCGCAATACAGCATCAAAAATCCTCAGGCTTTCCTACAGAAGCTCCAAGGCCTTGAAATAAGTCCTGACGAATGTATCATATCGTTTGATGTTGTTGCCTTGTTTTCTTCAATATCGCATGACTTGGCGATTGAGGGTGTAGCACTATGCCGAGAGGAAAATCCTATTGGCATCCCAACCCTGCGTGGTCTAAACATGCTTAAGCTTTGCCTCAATAACTATCGTCAGTTCGATGACAAGTAGTATCAGCAAGTAAAGGGCACCCCAATGGGCTGACCAATATCGGGGCTGCATGCAGAACTGGTCTTGAAGCGACTAAACCAGGATGTTGTTCAAACCTTCGAGCCAAGAATGTGGCTCCCCTACGTAGAAGACACTTTAGTCATCATAAAGACCAGCGAAGTTTAGCGATTGCACCATAACTTAAATAGCGTCTTCCGGCTATACTGTTTACTCGCGAAAAAGCAACAGCTAATACCCCCCGTCTTTGGATGTGATGACAAACTAGCAACAAGCGTCCACCGAAAAGGCCTGTAGCGGCTAAGCGGTGAGGGTGTGCGCTCAGTGCGCCACAACTTCAGGCCATATCCCAAGTTGTTAGAAACAGGATGCCATTTGGTTAGGACACTTTATTCTGTACAGAATAGTGAAGGGGAAAGTTGGCAACCGGACGAGGATGCGTCCGGCGCCGCGGAGGCGGCGTCCGCGAGAGCGACGAGCCCTGTGTCGCCGAAAGTCGCCGCTGCAAAAGTGTCGTTGCAGATTGTTTACTCTATTGTTCTGGACTGTTCCCGCCTGTCTTACCAATCAGCGATAAGAGTTGCGTTGATTGGCTCCGAGCCCACGCGAAGGTAGTGACAAGCCTAGCGTGGTGCAGGCAGAGAATCGACCGAATGCGTGGTGCAGACAGTGGATTGCAACGAGACAAATCGAAGCCGGGCAGACGTGCGTGCCATAGCAGGTTGTCGCTAGGACGTAGGTGCAGGCGCTAGCAAGAGGCGCGACGTAGCCATTATGGCTGTCCACTACAGACCCTAGTGCCGAAATCATCGTTGACCATGAGAGAAATCATCCTGCGACCCATAAACGAAGCTTTGCCCACACTCGTTTCCATCGAGCCTGCCGTATCTATAACAGTGATGACGTACTTAAGAAAGAATTGGTCTACCTGTATCAGTTATTCCGATCCGATGGATATACGGCCAGTTTTGTAAAAAAAATTGTCTCAGACGCCAGAATCAGCCACCAAGCTCCGAGTCTAATGGGGATAAGGCGTCGCAGAAATTCTATTCACTTCCGTACATTCAAGGAATTTCTGAAACACTGTCTCGACAGTTAGAACGCTTTTGCATCTCCATCGCATACAAGCCCGCATATCCCCTACGCGAGACATTATGCCGAGTAAAGGACCCGCGGCCAAAAGAACAACTAACTAATGTCATCTACCGCATCCCGTGCGCCAACTGCCCTTGTGTTTATATTGGCCATAGAAGCCGATGTCCTGGGACTCGCATTAACGAGCGCAAGTTAGCCCTCCGTCAACGTAACTCTCTGTCTCTAGTGTTTGCGCACACCGTAGAGTATGACCACCACTTAAATCGGAACGGTACTGAAGCGATCGCAATGGCTAACACCAGATAGGCGCGAGAATTGCGCGAAGCTTGACTTTCTGGCACGACCATCATCAGCCGCCACGTCAATCTAGACGCTCACTACGATGGTTTACGTACACGTTCACTGACTTGTCCCCACGCCCTAACAACTGCTATCCTTCTCGGCCACGCAGAGTTATGCTGTCTCGCCACTTACCACCCCCCCTCGCGA